TTGAGTTTCTGTAGCTTAATGCTGGCCAGTAGCTTCTCTTCTGTATAATATAAAATAGTAGTTAAAGCTGAATTGGCAATAGCTAGTAGGATTACTATATGTAGAAGGGTATTTAGAATCATACTTTTCTGTAATCTTGATTATGCGGGATTGGTACTATACATATTGCTATTTTTACAGACATATTGCCTCGCTTAGCACCTTTTTGACCTGTTGACGTTTTTTGTTATTCATATAAAATTATAGTGGATTGGTATAGTATAGATAAGCGATCTGTATAGTACAGGCTTAATTTTTTAAAAACTACATCATATCAATATTAATTAGCTATAATTTCTAAGTCTAATAGTATAGCTTATAAATCAGCTTGTACTATACAGATCTGTTTACTTATACTATACAAGTATATGATTTATTAATTGAATATTGATATACATAATAATTGCATCAATATTTTAATCATAAGTAGACAGTATTATAAAAAATTTTTTAATATAATATTATGTCATGATTGCCAATAATGCATATAATCTCACGTATTGACAATTTGAAGTAATGAGGATACTCATAGTAGCGAATAATTTTATTATATTTTTGAAAATTCTAGAGAAATATAGAAATACCAGATTTTGCTACAATAGAAGCCAGATTTCATCTTGCTTTTTAATTTAGCTATTATTAAATAAATTGGCATAGGTTTGTAAAAAATTTAAATATTCATTTACTTAGTCTATTATGAGAACTCATATGCAATTAGTATTAAATTACTATCTGTTGACCATTAATATTAAATCAAAAACGTATCTATTTTTAAGTAAAATAATACAATTATATTTTGCTTGTTAGTTATATTCTTAATTCTAATCAGATGGACAGTACTTAAGAAATCAATTTCAAATCTGATTTGAGCACTATGAACCAGTGTTGTTATTTAGCCATATGAACTGTCAGATTTAGCACAATTAGACTTAAAGCTAAGGCTAATTAGACTTAAGGCTAAAGGCTAAATAAAAATACTAGCCTTAAGGCTAGTAACAACACTACTATGAACAGTACTGAGTTTAAAAGTTTTTAATTAAAATCATATGATTACAAAAATACTAGTTTAATGAGTTTGGGTTTCAAACAAGCTCGAACTGAGTTTGAATAAGCAGAATAATATCCCTAGTACAATAGTTATAGCTAAATATATTCAATCTTAAACTAGTTTGCAGACTTCAGACCAGACCCAGGTTAAACTTAGACTTGACTAAAAAGTCTAAATATAAAAGTTTGGGTTTGGTCTAAAAATCAGACCAGACCCAGACTTGACTAAAGCCTGGTTCGAGTCTGGTTCATAGAAGCACTACTATCTACAAACAAATAGACTTGTAAAAAGATTTAATAAGTCATTATACACCTCTATTGCCAAGCTTGTTGAGAATATAACTGATTTATTAATTTTACTAATATTATTCATATATAGAATGACAAAGCATCATACTATACAACAGATGTCTTTTTTTTTTTTGTATAGCAAAGATGCCAGCCTGCTTATCTACTCTAGTGAGTCAAGTAATTTGCTAAACGAGATAATTATTTAGCAGATGTATGAAATAGAAAATGATCTATCTCAAATTAGATTGCAAGCCTTAGATCGCATTAAAGCCCATCAACAAAAACAAAAAGAAGATCATGATCGATATATTAAAGCTATCCCCAACTTTAGAATTGGAGACAAAGTATTTGTCCAAAATACAAAAAAAATAGGCACTCATAGCTATAAACTAATACCACAATGGAAAGGCCTATATTATATCTATAATGTTTTCAGGAATGATATCTATAAGCTGTATGATTTAGATAGATAAGTATTAATTTATCTTATTAATAAATGGTTATTAAAGACTTACTATGAAATAGAGGAGAAACTAATTAGTATTAGACAAAAAAAAGAATAAATATATATATATATATATATTTTTTTTACAATGTCTAACTACAAAGCCTTTATTAAAGAAAACCTATTGGTAGTAGAATCTCTATTTGTATTCTCTAACCCTGTCCTTATAATACAGATCAAAATTTACAAACCTAGTAGTTTTTAGCTTATAATGATATAAGAAAGGTTAAAGAAAAAGATGACCATATTCAAAGTCTTGTTCACACTTTCTATTTTAGTACCCAAGTTCATTTAATGATCTTAGCTGAAAAAGCAACGTTACCAGGCCAATATACTCATTACTTTGTAAAAATAGTGACTAGAGTCTATTATTTGTTCGAATCCCACAGAGTTAAACAAATCTACTATACTATTTAAACAATGATCTCTATAATTGCTATACTAAAAAAACAGAAATTTCAACGCTTTTGCCAAATTATACCCAAAAAATGCCTCTTTTAGTGGAAAAAAATGTGAGCATCAAATTTACCCTAAATAGTAAAGATTTGTGCTAGTATAATACAAGGTCGATTTTCAAAATTTTGAAAATTTTGAAAATTTTGTAAATTTAGTAAATTTTGAAAAAAAGGAAATTTTTTAAAAAAAAATAAAATTTTGAAAAACAACAAAATTTTTAAAAAAAAGTAAATTTTAAAAATTTTTAAAATTTATTTCATATATAAAAAATAAGTATATAAGTAGCATAAAATCACCTTAAAATAAAAACAATTAGTAGAGTTCGAAACCTTCTAGGTCCTTATAGAAGTGTTTATCTCTAAATAAGTCTCTTAATTATATTTCCTTTTGATCAATAAATTATTTGTCAGTTGTCATATTTCTTGACCCTGTGACCATCATATTCTTAATTTTCATATTGAATAAGAAAGAAAAAGAATAACAATTAGTAATCAGACCTTTATATATTAAGCGAAAATTGATTAAACTTGTGATTACCCTATTATTAAAAATTAATATCTGCATAAACCAACTTAAATCGTAATTTTGTGATCATGTAATATCACAAATCAAAATTGTAGCCGCAGTAAACCTTTAACAAAAGAAAAGTATTATTAAAGTAAAAACTACTAGGTTTGTAAATTTTGATCTGTATTATAAGGACAGGGTTAGAGAATAC